TTAAAATTCCACAATAAGCTTCCATGATCTTGACCTAAGGACCATGTACTAGAAGTATAACATCATTAAGCCTTGCATTGTTAATCATTTACACAAGTTCATCAGATCCATTCCTGAAAGGAGATATGGGGGCTGGAGAGATGGTTCAGCAGTTAAGATGGACTGCTCTTGCAGAGGACCTGGATTTGGTCCCCAGCATCCACATGGTGGCTAACAACCATTTATAATTCCAATTCCAGAGGATATGACACCCTTTTCTGGCATTGCGAGCATTGCATTCATGTGGTGCATTTGAATACATGCAGGCAAAACAGTTACACATATAATTTTTTTTTTTGGTCTTTTTGAGACAGGGTCTCCCTTTAGCCCCACCTGTCCTGAACTCACTGTGTAGACCAGGATGGCCTCAAACTCACAGAGATCCGCCTGCCTCTGCCTCCTGAGTGCTGGGATTAAAGGCATGTGCCACCATGCCCAGCACATATAATTTTTAAAAAAGAGAGAGATGGAGCTGGGCGTGGTGGCAGGCAAAAGAGTTACACATATAATTTTTTTTTTTTTGGTCTTTTTGAAGCAAGGTCTCCCTGTAGCCCCAGCTGCCCTGGAACTCACTATGTAGACCAGGCTGGCCTTGAATTCACAGAGATCCACCCTTCTACCTCTCAAGTGCTGGGACCACAGGCCTGTGCCACCACGCCCAGCTCTACCCATCCCATCTTTTATTTACATGATAGTTTATAATCTTTTAGTGAGAAAAAAAATTTGTCTTATTTTAAAGACTTATGTTTAATTGTGTGTGTGTGCATGCGCACATGAGTACAAGTGCCTGCAGAGGCCAGAAGAGGGTGTTGGATCCCCCTGGAGCTGGAATTACAGGCATTTGTGAGCCATCTAGCCTGGGTGCTGGAAACCAAGCTGTTGCTAAAATTCCTTCCCTGGGGAGATGGAAACATCTTCCATTCTCCCATAGGTCTCAACAACAGATCAAAATACAGTTCCACTGAACTTTACCCTGGAGAACCAATGAATTTATTGGGCTTACTCTGAAAGCACAGATGAGGTGTCATTTCACAGGAGTGGGTGCTCTCCTCAAAAGGAAAAATCTTCACCCAGCATGGATAATAGCTTCCCAATAGCTGCATAGATGGAGCCCCTTCTAGTCTTCCCCAGCCTACATACTCTAGCACCTGTCTGAGGCCATATGTAATTAGGGCAGAATTACACACAATGAATTTGGAGGAGTGGCTGGGTACTTAGGTTGAGGGTCCCATGACCCTTCCCGCCTGTTGTCCTATAAGGGGAGGTCAACAGTCACCAAGCCCAGCTGTGATGATCTTTTGCCAGCAGGCACAGCTGAACTACTGAAAGTGGCAGTTGTTCAGCTTGGAAGACAGTCCTGTACAACACAAATTATAGTCCTCTGCAAGAGCAGTAAGCAGTCTTAATTGCTGAGCCATTTCTTGTCTCACATTGTAGCCCAGGATGACTTGGAACTTAGGCCACCCTCCTGCTTCAGCTTCCTGAGTGGAGTAAGCCATCATACCCAGCAAGAATTTCTTAGAAAATAGATATCTCCGCAAAAGGGAAAAAAGCAAGATGGTGAAAAATGTGATAATTTAAAATAATAAAGACAGGTCAGTGATAGATAATGAACAACACATTTTAATAGTGTAGGATTAAAATGACATTGTATTGTATTGAACTTTTATTTTAGTATGACACAATAAGTCCAGAACTTTTTGTTTCATACATTTTCAAAAATCCATAAAATCATAAACCTGTCTTCAAGGAGAGCCTTACATAAAAATAATAGAACTATCAGTTCAATAGACTTATTAATATTATTATCAATATTATAATCACTAATTAGGCACTTCTAAAATCTCTCAATTTCTGAGGTAGTTCAGTAGAGTAATCCTCTGACTCTTAACAGGTACTTCTCTTTGTGACTTTTAACCAACAAAAATAAAATAATCATTGTTATGCTTGCTACCCTCTGTTGGTGGTATTCAGAAAATAAAAATCTGGAAGGAAGGAATGCCAGCATAAAATATGAGAAAAAATGATTCATTCAGTCTTTTTCATGTCACTGGAGATTTAAATCACATCCTATACCCAGTCTCTGAAATCATAAGCTCCTTATATTTATGGATTTGAGAAAGAAAATTCATTCACTCTCTTTGACAGGGTCTTTCTATATAGCCCTTCCTGGCCTAGAACTTGCTACATAGACTGACCTTGAACTTGACCACCTCTTGCCTCTACTTCCCAAGTGCTAGGATTACAGGTATAAGATACAATGCCTGGCTCACTTTCTCATTTAAAAAATATGAACATTTAAAGTTGAGTATTTTTTAAGTCACTAAAGGTTTGTTTTTACTCTGAAAATGCAATAGTTCATAAGCTCAAACCAACAACTGAAAAAGTGTTCAAGAATAACCACCACTTTTGGCTATGGCTAACAACTAAGAATAACCACCACCTTTTTATCTAGCTCCACTCTTTATAGTATAGGACGTACATTCTATATGATTAAAATGTAAAGCACACTATTTTAGGTAAGAAGTGGTCAGCCTTTGGATTTGATAAAATATTTGAGGCTCAGTATCACTTTATTGCATGTCTGATTATATGAGTTAGTTTGGAGCATGAGTTCAGCAACTGAGATTAATTGTAGAGGTCTGTGTTTATTCTCATTTGCAGGAAGGAGCAGACTGAAGAAGAGAGCAGACTAGCCAAGGATGTGGGCTTGGGAGCCAGGCTACTTAGGTTGAATCCTGGCTTTGCCATTTATTAGTTGTGTGGCCCAGGGCAAATCACTTTCATGTTTGGTTCCTCAGCTTCTCCATCTGCAAAATGAAGACAATGAAATGAAGCAATTGCAAGAATTAAAAGGGTTAATTATATAATGTTCCTAAAACAGATGTAGGTTTATCATAAACTCTCAATAAGATGTTATTAATTTTTATTGGATAATCCGGCAAATAGACTAGTTCTAAAGTGGATAGTAGAATTGGTTGCCTGTAATGAAACCAAGGAGAATATGCTGAGGGGTGCACATAATTCAGATGTATTCTCAGCATTGAAGTTCTGTATGTAGTGACAGGTATATTCTTGATTCTAACTCAAAGTGAAGATTTAAGCAGAGGTGTTCAACCTTTTGACACTGCAATAGGACACTGTCATCTAGTGTCCTGGGAAGACTTTGGCCTGCAGGCTACAGGTTTGACATGCCTGAATCCATCAGTAACTCGGGTCTTAATTTTAGCTCAAAACACTGCTGGCCTAAGATGTGAAGATCTCTCCTAGGTCATGAACCTTCTAAAGCCACACCTAGCACACTGTCACATCCTCATAACAGATCCTACTCACTATGAACCATGGGGAAATTTGTTCCTAAAGGTATCTTGGCAGAGAGAGAGATGACAATGAAAAACAGGAAAGAAGGTGAATAAAAGTTCAGATTGCTCACTGAACGACAACCACAACATAATTCACTATTGGTTCTATCTGTTTTTTATCTGCCAGCAGTCCTAGTTCCTTTTTCTCTCCCACGTCATTCTCACCCCAGGCCTCTTTTGACATACAGAGTTTATCTCGGGCTATCTGCTTAGGTTTCTCAAACAAGAGCCTACAAGTTAGACTTAATAATTTCTAGTTAGTCCAGGGTGCCTCTTCAGGATTTCCCACCCTTCTACATGCAGCGATCAAGGTATTTAGCCAACATAAACTAATCTGTTTCTTAGAAAAACTCAGCATATGAGAACCTTTTCATTTATGCTTAAAGCAGTAGGTGGTAGACAGTTTCTATCTTAGAGCTATTTGAGGATATGGCAGTAGTAATTGGGGAAATTAGGAAGATGGGGGGCAGGGGAGGGACTAAATGGAACTTTGTATACATTGGGATAGATTTAGCATTATACCCTTTCAGAATTTTGTTATTGCCCAAAAGTTTTTAAGGGAAATGGAATGTAAGAATAAAGCCCTTAAAAGAAAAGCCAATAATACTAACTTTAATAGCATCATTTATTTGGAACTTTTAACTTTTTGTTGTTTATGTAGTTTTTGTTTTAGTTTTTTTTTTTTTTTACTGTTGTTTTTTTTGTTTTTTTTTTTTTTTTACTGTTGTTTTTCTTGTTTTTTTAGACAAGATCTCACTGTATAGCCATAGCTGGTCAGGAACTCAGTATGCAGAGTAGGTTGGCCTGAACTCAGAGATCCACCTGCCTGAGCATCCTGAAAAGTGTATTTCACCATACCTGGCCTTATTTTTTGACAGAAGGTGACAGGATTTCATGAATCCCAGGCTGGCCTCAAGCTCACCATGTAACAGAGAATGGCCTTAAATTCGTGATTCTCCTGCTTTAGTTTTCCAAGTGCTTTATGTTTTTGTGCATTGAACCCAGGGCCTCTCACATGCTGAGCAGGCAACTCTTCCAATGAACTACAAAAACTCATTAAAATATTTACTATATCTGCAAACTAAACCAAAAAGTTCCCTCCTTGATACATTTTAACTACTTAAAAGTTTTGATAATGGGAAACTTGTGGAGGAAACTAAATAAATGGCAGTGGCTTCCTGATGGCATTGCCCAAGTCTGGAAGAAAAAGGGAAATGTAGGCCAGCAAGATGGTTCAATGGGTGAAGACTCTTACCACCACCCTGGTGACCTAAGTTTGATTCCTGGGGACCTATGTGATAGAAAGAGAGAATCAACTCCCCCAAGTTGTCCTCTGACATTTGCATGTGCACACACACACACACACATACACACAGTAATAAAATTCTTTTTAACTTTAACTCCAGTTCCAGGGGAATCCGAAGCCCTCTTCTGACCTCTGCGGCATTGCATGACATGGGTGCACTCACATACATGCAGGCAATACACTCATACACATAAAATAATAAATAAAAAATATTTTTAAAAAAGAAAAATGTGTTGTTTCATGGTTTCAGAAAGCACCGGTTGGCTTTTACTTGCTGTTACTTGTCTTGAATTTTAAATAGGAAGACAGCCCAAGAGTTTCCTCAACCAAGAAAATCTCTGCTCTGATTCTGGATCATTCCCCACCCTTTGGATGTGGAACAGAGCCTGGGAGGCCATGAGGTGCAGAAAGGGCTCAGGGTCTTGTAGCAGATCTCTCAGATCTACATGGCAAGAAAACCAAGATTGGAGTTGAAAGGTCCTGAGTTTCTAGAAACAAGGTTTCTGGATACCAACTAGCCAACATTCTTGGATAAAAAACAATTTTTTTTTCTAAGACTCTCTCTAAAAGTCTGTACATTGGTGAATTGATTCCAGTTTTGACCTGTAAAACCTACTGGTTTCTGAATTGCTAAACATTTCATTCCTTTCCTGTAATCATACTTTAAGTAGTCTACCTAAGCCATGTCTAATGTTAACCTTCAGTCCTTAATATTAACTCTTAAATCACTATTCTTTTTTAATACTTTTATTTTTAAAGTTTTAAAATTTTAAATGTTATTTTATGTGTATGAGTGTTTTGCCAGCATGTAAGTGTATCTGTGTCATGCAAAGCCTGCAGAGGCCAGAAGAGGGCATTGGATACCCTGGAATCTAAGTTACGGACAGTTATTAGCCTACATATAGGTGCTAGGAATTCAACCCAGGTCATCTAGAAGAGCAGACAGTGCTCTTAACCACTGAGCCATCTCTCCAGCCACTATTTTTAGTTTTTATTTTTATTTTAGTGACTCGTTTCGGTTTTTGAGACAGGTTCTCACTATGTTGCCGAGGCTAGATCTGAATATCCTCCTGCATTAACTTTCCAAGTGGCTGGATTAGCAGACATAAGCTACCAAGGCCAATTTAAAGACTTAGCTTTTATATTGTCTTTTTTAAAATTATTTTTTATTTTATGTGTATAAGTGTATTGCCTGTATATGTGTAAGTGCATTTGTGTCATGCAATGCCCACGGAGGTCAGAAGAGGGAATTGGAGCCACTGGGAACTTGAATGGATGGTTGTTAGTTGCCATGTGGGTTCTGGGAATCAAACCCAGCTCCTCTGTAAGAGTAGCCAGTGCCCTTAACCACTGAGCCATCTCTCCAGCCCCACTTTTATATTTTCTTATGGCAAAAGAAATACATTTGTTTTATAGAAAATTTAGATAATACATGTAAGCACTAGAATAAGTCACCCAATAATTCTACCACCTAGAAATAACCAATATTATTTGAAAGTGTATCTTAAAAAATTTTTAAATTATTATTTTATTTTATGTGTATATGTGTATTGCCTGCATGTAAGTGCACCTGTATCATGTACTGCCCTTGGAAGTCAGAAGAGAGTGTCAGATCCTTTGGAACTGGGGTTATGGACGGCTGTTAGCTGCCATGTAGGTGCTGGGAATCAAATCTGGGTCCTCTGGAAGAACAGCAAGTGTTCTTAACTGCTGAGCCATCTCTCCAGCCCCTGAAAGTGTAACTTTCTGATCTTTTTTCTATGCATTTATTGCTTCAATATTGTTCAAATGGAGCCATACAATCCAAATTTTTTTTTCTTTTGAGAACGCTCCTCCTGCCTCTACTCCCTTATGTGCTGGGACAATTGATTGTCTTATGCAATAATATCTCCATTATTATCAATATCACCTGAATTTTTTCTGTAATATATTTCATGACTATATACAATTCTACAATATAGGTGTCTTATAATTTAACAAATTCCCTATCTTCAGAGTATTTCCCATCTTTGCTATTCTAAATTATACTAAAATAAATATTCTTATAACTTTTCATTTTCACATTTTAAATTTCTAAAAGGATTAGTAAATCCAAGTATATGCTTATTTTCAAGAATTTTGATACATACTGTCAAACTTCCCTACTAAAAAGTTGTGTTTATGTTCCTACAAGGGCAGTATATTATATCAAGTTCTCTTCACACATCAATGTTGGTATTGACAGGGGAGCACATATAAGCATGATTTTATTTTGAAAACTGATTAATAATATCAAATATTTCCCATTTATTGACCATTTATAATTCCTTTCTAAACTACTTATTCATATCATTAGCCATTTTTCTTTAGTGAACTTACTGATTTGTTTTAAGAATATTAACCCTGGGCTGGAGAGATGGCTCAGCGGTTAAGAGCATTGACTGCTCTTGCAGAGGACCCAGATTTGATTCCCAGCACCCACATGGTGGCTATGAACCGTCCTTAACTCCAGTTCCAGGGGAATCTGAAGCCCCCTTCTGACCTCCATGACATTGCACGACACAGGTGCACTCACATACATGCAGGCAATACACTCATACACATAAAAGTAATTTAAAAAAAAGAAAATTAACCCTTTATTGTGTTGAAAGTATTTCTATATTATTTGTTTTTATGTGTATGAGTGTATTGCCTGCATGTAAGTGCAACCATGTTGTGCAATGCCCGCAAGGACAGAAGAGGCCATCAGATCCTCTGGAACTGGAGTTACAGACAGTTGTTAGCTGCCATGTGGGTGCTAGGATTCGAACCTGGGTCTTCTGCAAGAACAACCAGTGTTCTTAACCCCTGAGCCATCTCTCCAGCCCCAGTTTTGTATGTTTTTAAAAAATTCTTTCAAAAGTTTTTTTTATTTTTTTACATAAAAAAATATGGTATTTTATTTTGTGGAACTGTCTCTGGTATTTAGGAAAAATGCTAGGATTACAAGTATATACCACCAAGTTTGGCTGATTTTTTTTTTAAGAATGTTTTGATATCTATGAAGAAATGATAGACCTTGGTGAAAAGTAGCGTGATGTTTCTTATGTTAGTTTTAGTCCTTACCTGTTTCAATAGTTAAAATATTTTTTGTAAAGTCATGAATTGGCCAGCATGGTGACACATACCTTTAATCCCAGCACTCAGGAGACAGAGGCAGGCAGATCTCTGTGAGTTCAAGGCCAGCCTGGTCTACATAGCGAGTTCAGGCCACATGGAGACTCTGTCTCAAAAAGATTAAAAAAAAGTCATGTGTTGGGGACCCCTGCTGTGTAAAGTAGCAGTTTCTCCATGTCCAGATAGCCCATGGGCTCGGAGTTCATGTGCAGAGACTCCTTTTATCAGCAGGGCGCCTTCCCACTCTCTTCCTGACTCATCTTTGAAGTAGCCCTCACAGAAGGCCTCTGGCTCTGAAACTGCCAGATTTTCCTGTGTGATTTTTAGACACTGTCTGACGGCCTGGCAGGAGCCCACCACCGCATGTAAATGAGGCATCCTAAAAGCACCTACCAACTAAAACTTTGCCACTACCCCCACAGTATAAGTATCCTGGTTTTCCCTCAATAAATTGGAGCTGAATCACTAAGACCTGGAGCCGAGCTGAGTCACTGAATAAAGGAGCTGTGCCACTGAGTCTGACTGAGCTGAGTTCTGTGTCTTACTGCCTACATCCAGTCTCTCAGGAGAGGGCTGTCTATTCGTAAACGACTCACGGAGACCCTGCTTTCGCTGTCCTGCACCTCCCCTCATGACCCGGCAGCTGACGGATCTCGAACCCAGAGGGAGTGCTCAGTATTGGGACGGAACCTGCCTGGAAACGCAGTGATCAGTAGAGTCGCCAGCATCCAGTAGTCGCTGAGAGCATCAGCAACACGGTGCGTGACATGTGCGCACCCCAGTGGCATGCAGGAGACCGGCGCCACGCCCAGCAGCTGGCGCTCCGAGATCCCTGCACCCCATAGTCATGAATGGGTCTGGCAAGACGCCTAAGTGGATAAAGGTGCTGGCCACTGAACTGGACAACCTGAATTCAATCCTCAGGACCCACAAGGTGGAGGGAAGGAAACATAAATGCCTGCAGTTTGTCCTCTGACCTCCTTATGTGCACATCATGGTGTATGTGGGTATATGTGCACACAGGCACAGATACACATAATAAATAAATGTTTTAAATAACAAAATTATTGAATTGTTTAGAATTTTAATTTGGTAATGAAAGTAGTAATTTTGGATTGTGAGAACTTACATATCTTAACTTTTCTATCTGTAATATCTTTTTTTTTTTTCCTGCAGTGCTAGGGATTGAACCTAGGGCCTTAGGCATGCTAGTCAAACATTCTACCACTAAGCTATAGCCCCAGACTTATTAAAACTACTTTAAATGGGAATAATGATTCTTTGGAGTTGTGCAGATACTGAAAACACTCACTCACTGACAATCCTGAAAACATTTCTCTTATAGTTGCCTTAAATACTATAAACCATCTTAGTGCCAAGCCCTACACCTTCCAGCACAACTGCTTATAGAAAATAGTGCTGTAGTAATCTCTGTAGTACTTTGAGACATCATCACTAATGTTTCTAGAAAGATAATGTTTTACTTCTGAAGTGTAGGACTGTGTCTGAGACTGTCATTAAAGCTGATTACCAGACAGAGTCATGCCCTTTCCCAAGGGGGTTTTGGACTTAATATCTGAGACTGTCATTCAGCTGGTCACATTTTTATTGGTGTATAAGTTAGGATTTTCAGATACCAGAGTCTCAGATTTGCTACAGAGCCTGCCCACAGTCACTGACCCAGATTCCTTCTGAAATATGAGTGCATTCCAAATCCAAGTAATGTTATTTACTTACCATTCGGTATCCAGTCAGTAGCCTTCCTCCTAAGTTCACTGTGATCCACATACTTTGATGAGTCCTAAATACAAGATAAATGCAGTAAGTCTGAAACCTGACTTTTGCTTTTAGAAATTAAAATTTCCTCATTTTTATCATTAAAAAATCTAGACAACAAGCAGAATTGGCTTTTTGAGAATTAAGTGTATTCAAAACAAAGTTGCAGGGTATGGTGGTACATGCCTTTAATCCCAGCACTTGGGAGTTCAGGCCAACCTGGTCTACATAGCGAATGAGTTCCAGGCTAGCCAGGGTTACATCATGAGACCCTGTCTTAAACAAAACTAAAACAATAAATTCCATCCAGGAATGCTGGTTCATACCTCTAATCCCAGCACTTGGGAAGCTGAGGCAGGAGGACTGCCATGAGTTCTAGGTCACCCTAGGAAACAGTGAAACTTTTGTCTAAAAAAAAAACAAGACCAGTGAGACGGCTCTTCAGGTAAAGGTGCTGGCTGCTGAGCCTGATGACTTGAGCTCTGTCCTCAGAACCCACATGATAGAAGGAGAGCTGACTCCCACAAGTTACCCGATTACCACATGTACACATGCATACACTTATAGTAAATATAAAACAATTAAAATCAAATTTCCAAAGTGCTGATATTACCTATCCTTAACATGGTTCCTTCCTCCCTAGAAGTATTTTCAAGTTAATCTGCATAAAGATTATGCCTCGTACTATAAACCTGATTGTGACTGGGGAGGTCATAGGCCCTCCCTAATGGAGATGGTTTTACTTTTGCATTGCTATAATGGACATGTTGTAACCATCAAACTGTCCACTAAATATTTATGTTTATTCCCATAATTATTGTTTGTTGTCAGCTTTGTTCAGAGAAGTTGCGTTTTACAGAGTGGGCAACAGTTATTGCAGAGACTCATAACTGGTCAGGAGTGCTGAGAATAAATGACTGTTGAATGTTCAGCCCTAAATGGGACATCTGTATCACCTCCTCCAGAGCTCAGGTTACACAGTAGAAGAGGTGGAGTGTTTTGGAACATGTCTTCCACGTAATTGCACTCATGAACTCACAGCAGCTGTGATCACCTGAAGAAGACCGACACAAGATCGGACCTATCAACATTCTGTTGCTAAGGGCTCATGAAGCCCCACCATCCTTGAGGATTTACAGGCAATTATAAGGATTTGGGGCGGGGGAGTCACAAGTTCCTACCCCTCTCTAAGGATGTATAGCCAGTTAATTGTTGGAAGTGGGGAAGGGAGAAAAGAGACCTTTTTTTCCAGTGGTGTAGCCTCCTCATGTTCCTGTAAATACCCCTCACACATATTCCTATAAGCAACCCTAATTAAACTCATTGAGTCACCAAAAAACAAAAGATATGAAAGTAGAAGGGGGCTACTTGGGAATAAGAAGGGCCATTGGGAGTGGGAAGGGGACAAGAGAGGGTTGAGGGATGAAGATGATCAAAATGCATTACATACTTGTAAAAAAAAAGAAAGAATGGGGGTATCCAATACAACTTGAGAAGGTACAGGATAACACTAGAAACGAAAGGATTTTCTTTTACCTATAAACAAGGCTGCTGTTCTTCTGATGGGAAGTTTTGCATTCTTGGAATACATTAATGTTTGGTCTAGGATGTTTATTTTTCCCTTGCTTTTTTCCTCCTTAAATGGAGGGGGGAAAAGTACACAGCAGTGAAGTAGCACCACTATTTTGTCCAGTGTATCTATAATTTTCAGGGAATATAGCACTGCTTGAAATAACTCCAGTGAATGTCACCAGTGACTACTGAGCCATGCTAACAAGCCCCTGTACTGAAGTTCTCAGAACGTCCATCACCTCACCTGCTCACGCTGTCTACACCTTTAAAGCCACCTCAGCTTCTTTGCATCGAAGTCTTCTTTGCTCTCTGAGCTACCTTGTGCTTTCCCTGCCAGCTCTTCCTGTCTGATCTAACCCTGCTCTGTATATTTTGTAGATTTCCTCTCCTAGCACATACTATTTTCCACTTTGAGTTTTTATTTCATTTCTTGGAGATTTTTAAACCCCTTCCTTAGCTTGCAAGCACCAACTAGAAGTTTTAAACCTGGGATGCCCACGATCTAGTACATACTGGATGTGATTCATTTACTGAGTGAATGAAATACATCTTTCAAGGACCTCTTAGAAGGAGTAGCACCTCAAGAATAGGAAGAACAGTAATTTCCTCATAAATTACAATTTAACATGAACAATTTGCACTTTTATCTTTTTGGGAACACATTTCTTGGTGGAAATAATGTCATTAATGTATCAGTTATAGGTTTGGCTGTAGGTCAGAGAGCTGTTACCCAGGAAAAAGCCAGAGAAGGCTTCCTAGCCTTACAACTAAGGTGAGAAGAGATCACTCTGGGTTTTAAACATGCATATGATTCCTAGAAACAGTCCCAAAGACTTTGTAGTGGGCCAGCAAGGTGGCTCAGTGGGTAAAAATGCTTGTCACACAAGCCTGATGACCTGAATTGGATCCTTGGAACCTGAGTAACAAAAGCTAGATATGGGATGTGCATCTATAATCCCAGCAGTCCTGCAGTGAGCTGAGGGATGGAGACATGAAAATTGCTCAGAAGTTTGTAGGCCAGTCAGCATGGGGCATGCATCACAGCAGCAAAAACAAAAAAAAAAAAGCAAAAAATGAGAGAGAGAGAGACCGCCTCAATAAAGTGAAAGGCAATAACCAACTCCTGAAAGTTGTCCTCTGACCTTCATGTGTACACCATGGCACATTCATACATGCTCAGACACATACATACATACTAATAACATTTTTTTTAGAAAAGTAAATGAATTTGTGGCTCAATCATGATGGAACAATAGCAAAATAGAGATATCCCACAAAACAGCTCAAAGAAAGCAACTTCTTAAAAACTGTCAGAAGATGGGCTGGAGAGATGGCTCAGCAGTTAAGAGCACTGACTGCTCTTGCAGAAGACCTGGGTTCGATTCCCAGCACCCACATGGCGGCTACGAACTGTCCTTAACTACAGTTCCAGGGGAATCTGAAGCCCTCTTCTGACCTCTGTGGCATTGTACAACACGGGTGCACTCACATACATGCAGGCAATACGCTCATACACATAAAATTAAAATAATAAAATATTTAAAAGAAAAAAACTGTCAGAAGAAAAACCAACTACATCAGCGTGTTAAAGAGTTAAGAGTTAGCCGAACGTGGTGGCACACCCCTTTAATCCCAGCACTAGAGAAGTAGAGGCAGGTGGATCTCTGTGAATTCAAGGCCAGCCTGGTCTACATAGTGTGTTCCAGGACAGCTGGGTCTACAGGGAGACCCTGTCTCAAAAAGACCCAAGAAAGGCCAGGCGTGGTGGTGCATGCCATTAATCCCAGCACTCGGGAGGCAGAGGCAGGCCGATCTCTCTGAATTCGAGACCAGCCTGGTCTCCATAGTGAATCCAGGACAGCTGGGGCTACAGGGAGACCCTGTCTCAAAAAGACCAAAAAAAAAAAAAAAGACCTCCCCCAAAAAGAGTTAAGAGTCAACAAAACCAGTACTTCTCACATACAAAGAATTTGCAGATTTCTCTAACTTCAATAGGTTTGATGTACAATGGATCTTTGCAGTACACTTTTTGGGGCAGCTTCCATTTCAGGAACTGGGCACATATAGTTAGGACTCGCCCACTCTCCTGTGAGGAAAAAAAAAAAAGGCCATCACGAAATAGCATTTTCGAGCTTCCTCTTTTAACTTACATGATTTTTCTTTAGTAAAACTGATACCCAAGTCTAAAGTGAAAGACTAATAAATTCAGAATTACCCTGGTTGAAGTAAAGAGAGGGAATAAATTAGAATTCCACTGTCCTACTTCGTTTTTTCTTGCTGTGATAAAATGCTGACCAAGACCAACTTGGAGAGGAAAGGGTTTATTTGGCTTACAGCTCACAGTCTTTAATTGAGGGAAGCTAAGGCAGGAACTTGGAGGCAGAAACTGAAACAGAAACCACAGAAGAATGTTGCTTACTGGCTTCCTCCCCTTGGTCTACTCTGCTCTTTCTTAAACATCCCAGGCCCACATAGCCAGGGATGGCATAGCCCATAATGTGCTGGGAAAATACCTCACAGACATGGCCACAGGCCAGTCCAATGGAGAAAATTCCTCAGCCGAGGTTCTCTCTTCCCAGGTGACTCTACTTTGCATGAAGTTGACCAAAACTACCCAGCAGACCTGCTTCCTCCTGAAGACTCTGAAGGGGATCCATAAAACCTGCAAGGTTCTAGGAAGGGTGTAGAAACCATTGGTCCTAAGAAAAAGTGATAGCTGGTAGATAAGGCACCCAGATCAAAGATCTAGACCAGCATGTCACTCGCCATGCTCTGGACAGGGATTCCACTCCTTGTCGCTCCCATGTCATATTCTGGTCTCTCTGTACAGGGAAATAAAGCTCCTGAACTTCGTATCCCCAGGCATCTCTTAAGTTCTTCAACCCTAGAGTTCTGACCCCTTCCTGATCCATATACTCCAGCAAAACTAAACAAGTGGTTTCCTCTCTAGTCATTCCTCTTAGAATGCCACCCAAGCACCATTCAACACAAGTCCATTAGATATTAGAGTCATAAAAATCCCTTTGGGGCTGGGAGTGGTAGTACAAATCTTTAATCCCAGTACTTGGAAGCCAGAGACAGATGAATCTCTGAGCCTGGTTTGCATAACCAGTTCCAGGCTAGGCAGGGCTACATAGTGAGACCCCTGTTCCAAAAACCAAACAACAAAAACTCTTGAGGGACTAATGAGAATAAAAATTAGTTTTTGTTTTGCAATTTGTAAATATGTAGTAAAATTAAAGATTCTCAGGTTCTCCACACTAGGTTTTTATGTCCTCAAGAAATTCTCACATATATGCAGAAGAGTGCTCACTGCAACACTGTAACAATGAAAAATTGAAAATAGTCTAAGCATCCTGGAAGAGGAGAATGGGGTAAGTTTTAGGTTACTCAAATGATGGAACTCCATGTAGCAGTAAAAATAATCTACAACTATACAATATAAATCTCATAATTTAAGAAGATGCTGAGAATGTATAGACTTATACAACATATAAAGTTTTAAAGCATGAAAAATAAGCTGAGCCTGGTGGCACATGACTAATTCCAGTGCTTAGGAAACAGAGGCAGGAGGATGGCAAATTCAAGGCCACACACACACACACACACACACACACACACACAAAGGGCCAGGATTGGTGGCACAAACCTATAATCCCAGTACTTAGGAGGCAGAAGGATCAGGTATTGAAGGCCAGCTTTAGCTACACATTGAGTTTGAGACCAGCTTGGGCTACATGAGACCCTGTTTACAAACAAAAAATAGAAGAGAGGGGAGGGAAAGAAAATGGGAAGGGTAAATAGAAGGGAAGGAATTATCACAGGAATGATAAAGACAAAATTTAGGATGACAGTTCTTTGGGGGAATTCAGTTAGGAATAGGTATGTGGTTTATTTCTGTTTCATATCTTAGAGTTGAGGTAGCTTTGTAATTGTTTATCATGTCCTCTATGCTGGTGATGATGACTCCTAGTTTAACATCCACCTCTCTGCTCAGACTCCCCTCTGAAAGACTGAAAGTAGCTAGGAATTATTGAAGATTTGTAGGAAAATAAGCCCAGGGCCTTGGCTGCTCTAGGCCTTTCCCAACTGCCAAGGGCTGGCAGTATAGGGGTGAGGTATCAGTGCCTCCATATACCTGTGTGCTACAAAGGATGTGGTTCCCTATCACCTGGCTGACAAATTCTGCACTGTTCCCTTTATTGGGGTCTGAAATGTTTCATATTTATGGCCTCAGAACTATAAACCTTCTCACACAATAAGGTATGAGGGCCACCATAATCTTAAGTACTGTTGCTAGACTTGTAACTTTGATTGTCATTCCTGGAAGGGGGAACACACAGAGATAGAACCCAAGAATTCTTCTAGAATCTTTGTGGTGTAAATCTGAAGTTCTGGAGTGATTTATCCTGGTGGTCACAGCATGAACAGGCATGTAGACTTTTTGTATAGCACTATACTAGGATTGAACCCAGATCTCAGATAAGCTAGGCATGCAGTCTACTACTGAGCTATCCCCAGTCCTCTTTTCACTTTATTTTTATTTTTAAAAAATTTTAGATTATGCCGGGCGTGGTGGCACACGCCTTTAATCCCAGCACTCAGGAGGCAGAGGCAGGCGGATCTCTGTGAGTTCGAGGCCAGCCTGGTCTCCATAGCGAATCCAGGCCAGCTGGAGCTACAGGGAGACCCTGTCTCAAAAAGACCAAAAAATTATTTATTTATTTATTTATTTCTCTCCATGTGTGTTTGTAGGGGTCAGTTCTCTCTTTCTACCATGTGGGTTCCAGGTATCAAACTCAGGTCATCAAGCTTGGTAGCAAGCACCTTTACTCACTGAGTTATTTTGCTGACTTAAAAATAAGTTTTGAAATAGGGTCTTACTTACTAAGCTGCCCACACTGGTCTTGAACTTGAGAGCCTCTTATGTCAGCCTCCCAAGAAGCTTAGGTGACACAAGTCTGTGCCACCAGGCTGAACAGGCTCAGTTAAGACTAGAGTGTTTAAAGGAAAATACCCACAATTCTAACAGAAAAGCTCCTGGATCACTTAGGGGAGATAAGGTCTCCAGATGGTCCAGAGAGCTTACTCTCTCTTAACTCCAACACACATTATTTGTCTCAAAGCCTTCGGGTAGTCCTTGAAGTGAAAGAAAAGAGAATATCTGTTTGTTGAGTTGTACACTATATTTAGGACTCTTTATGACCCACAAAGGGCCATAATTTGCTACACAGAAATTGGGAGTTAGGTTTCCCACAACTTACTTAGGCAAAATAATTGAAATGCAGCTCTGTGCCAGAGGAACTAGGGAACAAAGATGTTATTGCAAAGTCCGTGTCCTCTAAGATATGAACACTTATTTGCCGAGTTGGATCTGGGTTTAGAGTTATTCAGGGCTGAAAAAGTTGACATTACCTCAGCTATTGTATAATTTTCATCCTGAGAAAAAAGTAGTGGGTCTAGGCTCTCCAAGACTTGGTTTTCCACGCTCTTCTTATCCATGAGCTTCACAGCCTTATGGAGGCTCCAAAGAGGGTCAAGGAGAAACGATGAACATCAGGTCTTACCTAAGAGTGGAGTATTCACAAGGAAACAATTCATTGACCATGTCCATGCTAGCTTATAAGAACTCCAGGAGAATTGACATATCACTCTCAGCATGAGGATATATATAGCCACATATAGCCAAGGGCAAGAACTCCACTACATAGGAAGACAGCAAGACCTGTGTTTGGCACTCTTGTTCTTGAAACTCTACAAGTGAGAATGGATAGTCCTGCCAGGTGCTGCAAAAGCTTGTGTTCAATACTGGCATTAACTACTCACATAAGCTCTTTTGCTAAAATTTAAAGTCCCAGCTTTGGTATCTTTTGAGGATTACTGGTCATTGTGCTCTATATGTCTCTTTTGGAAAATCTTTGGGATTTGGGACAAGGACAGTCTATCATTTTAACACAATCCTTATTGTTTCTTGTTCTATACAAACTCTTCCCCCTCCCACAGAGCAGGGTAATGCTTTAGTAAGTTTCTATGTCCAAGATTTTTTTGACTAAAAAAAATTACATCAGCCCTATGAACATCACGGGTTATCTGGAAGGATCTTGAGAGAGGACACTTGAAAGTGCTCTAAAAAAAACTATATAAAATAAAATATGCCTATTCTCAACATCTACTTGCTTATGCCAGTTACCCTCCCTCTGAGGAAGAATCTCATTGTCTTACATCACCAAATAAGGAGAACAGGGTTTTCATCATGGTAGCCAGGGTGGTGCAGTCCAGTGTCCTGATGAGCTGCAGGAATGTCTGGATGGCCAACAAAACAATCCTCTCATCAGTCTCATGTAGGCTTTCCAAGATGCATGGTAGCAGGCTCTTGATGTCTTCCCTCTGTGTGTCCAAAGCAGCCCATGAACCTCTCTCCTGGTACATCATCTGGTTCTAAAGGGAGGGTTCTCACCCTAAGTACCTAATGCTTGATGGGTTTCTGGTAGCACTGGCTAATCTAGGACAGAGAAGTGGTAAAGAAGGTGTGTTACCCTCTCTTAGTATGAACAGCTTGATATGTAGCAGAGGGGTCAGACCTATTGTGAGTTGCTTTGAGGAATATAAGTGAGAGGTGGGTGAGGGCCAGGGATATACCCTTGGCTTTACTGTAAGGAGAAGCTCTCCTATCACAGAAAAAGTGGAATGGTCAGCTCAGGCCACAATGAGTTCTCCAGCATGGAAGGTATTCAAACAGAGGTTTTAAGACTCCTTGGCAGGAATTCAGCAGTTTTGCCTGAAGACCCTTAAAGCTCCTCCTCATTTTGAACTGATATTCTTCAGTTCTGCAACTCCTAGAAGGAATCAGTCTCAGGATTTTAAAACACACACACACACACACACACACACACACACACAGAAGTAGAAGAAACAAATGTTTATGCATCTAATCAACCAGAGTTAGCATATACTAATATTTGTCATTTTTGCTTCACATGTAAACATAAATATTTTAAATAAAAGAAATAAATCTCGGGGGCTAGAGAGATGGCCCAGCAGTTAAGAACACTGGTTGTTCTTGCAGAAGACCCAGGACCCACATGGCAGCTAACTGTCGGGAGCTGCTAATCATTGAGCTGTGTCAGGCTTGTTTACTGAGTGTGTGTTATGCACACCAGTATCTAATCTGCCTTATCAGGAGGAATATGTTTATATGGAGAGCCTCACAACACCTGACCTTGAGGCAATAGTGGAAGCCTTTGATCTGACCGCTCCCTGACCCTCAGATACAGGTGGGGAAAAACAGCAGTTGTAACTAATTGAGTTCTTCTGTATAAAAAGGCAGAACTGAAATAAATCGCGGCTGCAGTATTCACTGTGAGCCCTCCCAAGCATCTTTTCTGTCTCCTTTTCTTTCTTTCAATCCTCACTCCCCCTTTCAGGTACTGTCCGTCTTGGCCGGCTGGCACCGGCAGCTAACAACCATCTGTAACTCTAGCTCCAATTCCAGGGGATCTGACAGCCTCTTCTGTCCTCCATGGGCATTGCACAACACGGGTACACTTACCTACGTGCAGTCAATACATGCATACACATAAAATAAAAATAATAAATATTTTTTAAAAAAGAAATAAATATCAAGTGGCAAAATTATGACTAAGGCCTAGTTTTCTAGTGAGACCTGTAGAAGATGAGTATCTTCCAATATGATTGACAGTAATCTCTGTCACAGACAATAAATATCTTGGGAGCATCCAACAGGGCAACATGGTACAAGGCATCAATGGACAGTGAATATTGGCCAGCATGTAATGATAATACGTATACCTTCCAGACAAAATGCAAGTTTCCAGTTACATTTGTGACTTGGAATTTTAAAGGTATTTAATTTTTCAATAGTCAGTACTTCATATTTGCTAGGTATAAAATTCAAATGGTACAAAAGGGTATACAGTGAAAAAGACCTCCCATTCACTCTTGCCCCCATACTACCCAATGTTCTTCCTCCCCAGATATTTAGAGTTTTTTGGGTATCTTTGGGGGTGTTCTATTTATGATCTAGGAATCAGTGGTCTGAGGTTCTTTTACCATTTCTTGGTGTCTGATAAGATTGTGCAGTCCTCTCAGTGCAAGAATTCTGAAGAGATTATTTTCATCACACAGCCAGTCTTTCAAGCGAACAATGGAGTATAATCTGGACAGTCTCCTGGTCACTGGACTCTTTAGGAGCTGAAAGAACCCAGAAATTAGCTAAAGAAATGACCTTGAAGCTATCTTTTCTTGAAGGGAGCTTCCTTCCCACCAGCTCAAATGTATACATTTTCCTTTGAAATCTATGATACCATGCAGACAGTACAGAGTGATGCTATGATGCAGGTACACACAGAATACTGAGTAATGGTGTGGGAAAAGAATTTCAGTAGGCTTGAATCTAAATAAAACATCTCTATGGAATGCCTAAATGGACCTCAGCCTGAACCTAACTTAAGACAGCGTAGGAAAGAGGCTCTGTTTTCTAGACTTCCTCAGCCTAGTACCCACAGGATGAGTCTTACCTCCACAAAAAAGCCTGTGGATGTGAGTTTATGTTTGTCATTCCCACGATTAAGTAAAGGCACTAACAAGTATGTAGTCTTACGTGCAAGGACGTGACTTTTTTCCAGCAAGGCACTGTAAAACAGAGCACCAACAGAATGAATCTTAGACATGCTCCCATAGAGGATGGCATTTTTGTCAGGGTAGAGCCCTCCAAAATTTTGCACAGCTTCAGGTATATAGGAGGGTATGGTAGGGCCAAGACCTCTGGAATTTTTGCCTGGTTAAATATCACATATTGGCTGGGTGTGGTAGTACATGCCTTTAATCCCAGCACTCAGAAAACAGAGGCAACCTGGATCTCTGTAAAATCGAGGCCAGCCTGGTCTACATAACAAGTTCCAGCCTCAAAAAAAAAAATCATTTATTATGTACTGTCTTACAATTTTCATTACTGTGATAACTGAAAGGGAGGAAAAAAAAATACCTAAAAGAAGGTTGTTTTGAGCAGGGGAATGAATATATTTGGACAAGGAAGTCTTACTTGGCAAGGAGAAATACTCCCTGAAGACGGCATTCTCCTTTCAGAAGAGTCCATCCATCGTTCTTCTCCTTGATGCTGAATTCCTCCCAGAACAATGTTCTGAGGAGGACAGTCTTTGTAGCTTGAATGGAGAAGCTAAGTTGGACAAAGAAGCATAAGTGGACAGATCTTGCAGTTCTTGCTGGGAAGGGCCAGCTGTTACACTGCAATTCATTCTTTTCTATAGTTCTTTCTTTTGTGTAATTTTTATTATTTTATTTTATGTGTATGCATGTATTGCCTGCATGTAGGTAAGTGAACCCATGTCATGCAATGACGGCGGAGGTCAGAAGAAGCTGTTGAATCCCCTGGGACTGGAGTTATGGACAGTCATTAGCTGCCATGTGAGTGCTGGGATTTGAACCCAGGTCTTCTGTAAGAACAACCAGTGTTCTTAACCACTGAGCAATCTCTCCAGCACCCCCCTTTTCTATAGTTCTTAAAGATGCTTAGTGCTCTAATCCACATAAATTCTCAGCACAAAGAAATTTAACTAGATTTTATTTCTCCAGGAGTTTGGAAGGAAATCTATGACTCAACAACTTGATTTGCAATATTAAATATATATCTATTGCTTTTTGGTTGTGAGGCTTTAACAGCTGTGCTAGCTTTCCAGCCCATGTCTACTACTTTTTTTAAAAGTCTATTGAGATGCAATTTTTTTTTCATTTTTACTTTTTATTTTTATTTTTTTGAGGCTGGGTTTTTCCTGGGAGATGCAATTTATAAGGGTAGGGATTTGGCCCAATTGGTAGAATATTTGCCTAGCATGCCCTAAGCCCTGGGTTTGATCCCCAGCACTTCATAAACCAGGCATGGTGCTGCAGACCTAAACTCCCAGCATTTGGGAAGCAGGACGATCAGAAGTTCAAGGTCATCCTAACCTACAAAGTTTGAGGTCAGCCTGTGCTATAAGACCCTGCCTCAAAAAATAGAAAAGATATAATTTATGCTACCCATAAAATTTATCACCATAACTTATAAAGTACTTCTTTTTAAAATTTTTATTATTTTATTTTGGGACAAGGTCTTACTATATAGCCCTGGCTAGCCTGAAACTTACTATGTAGATCAGGCTGGGCTCAAACTCAGAGATCCATCTGCCTGCTTCTGCCTTCTGAGTGCTGGGATTAAACGTGTGTACTGCCACACCCAACAGATTTATTTATTTTTATTTTATGTGTGTGAGTGTTTTGTCTGTATGTATGTAGGTATACCACTTGTTTATAGTGCCCACAGAGTTCAGAAGAGGGCATCAGATTCCCTGGTACTGGAGTTACAGATGGTTGTTAGCCACCATGCAGGTGCTGGGAACCAAACCTGGGTCCTCTGCAAGAGTAGCCATAGCCAGCACTCTTAACTGCTGAGCCATCTCTCTAGTCCCATAAAGTCCTTCTTGAATTGGTATCCTAGATATAGCTTCAAGAGCATCTTAAAGCTGGAAGGGTTTTTAAATAAAACCTGCCTAATTTCCTCACTTACAGAAAAAGAAACTATAGCACAGAATAGATTTGCCCAGGGGGTGTACCTAAGTAAATAGATGAGTGAAAACTACAACTGAGATCTATTGATCCTTAGCCTGATGTTCTTACATATTCTACATTATAGCACTCCCGCCTAAATAAATCTGTATATAAAAGGAGCACTGCCAGGCATGGCGTCACACACCTTTAGTCCCAGCACTTGGGAGGAAGAGGCAGGCAGAGTTCCAGGCCAGCTGGGGCTACAGGAAGACCCTGTCTCAAAAAGACCGAAAAAAAAAAAAAAAAAAAAAAAGAGGAGCACTATGAACTGTCTACTGAGAACTTAAGGCAGAACTAAAGCTTTCTCTCCATGAAATAAAGCAGAAGTTAGGGATCATTTCACTGAATCAGCCCAGTTTGGGGGGTGAGTTGGAGCTGTTTTGTTTGTCTTTGTCTCCACTTGTTCTAACAAGAAAGGGCTGGCATGATGTCACCCATTATTTTTCAGGACAACTGGATCCAGAGAGCCCAATCTCCTTGTTACCAAGAAAACTAAAGGTGACAAGTGAAAGCCCAGAGTGATTCCTGGGCATTGCATCTTGAGGGTTGTGAAGCATATGTTTACTCACAATTGGGACCACATCTATTCTCAGGTCCACCACAGCACCCAGAACTTCTTAAGTGTTAAAGTCAGTGAAATCACAATGACAATACCACAAAGGTGTGATCTCCATCAGTATTTCCTGTTGTTCATACAGGCCACTTGGGATGGTGACATCAGACATGGTGAGGCCGATGCTGTGGTGAATCTGGATGAGTAGTGTCATCAAAAGGTGAGGAAAGAGTCGGAATGCAGCTGCTCACAGCTTGTTTCCTACAAATACTTCATAAAGGGCATCTGTTGCCTGTGGTAGAAAAGGCACAGAGCAGAATTGAGTGCTTATTGGTCCTAATCCTCACTTTGCTTTTGTTTCTGCTTGTGTCAGAACACACTTTGGGGTTCTACAATTGCATAGGCAGAACAGCAGTGATAAGTGGTAGAGGGACACAGACATGAATGGAAGAATAATAGTAAAGTGATCCTTAGAGTAGGCTGGTGTGTGGTCACTGGTGGAGCACATGCTTAGCAAATGCCAGACCCTGGGTTCAGTCCCCAGCACACACACACACACACACACACACATATATATATATACACCCCCCTAAAAACACACAAACACACACACACACACGCACACACACAGACCAATGAGGAAATTTGACATCCAGAAGTCATACAGGAAACTATTAGCATGCTTGAGTAGATAAAACTAAAAACACAAAATTTTACCATAATGCTGGATGACAAATAACCCATAAAGGCATCCATACCTGTATCAATGTGGTAATAAAATGCTCTTATACATCACTAAGGCAAATGTAAAGGCTTGCCCCTCAAAGTGTGGCCACACACCATTACTGGCATCATCTGGGAGCTAGTTCGAAATGGAGAAGATCAAGCCCCTCCCCAGATCTATATCACAATGGCACTTAAAGAAAATGATCAGGGGCTGGAGAGATGGCTCAGCAGTTAAGAACACTGGTTGTAAGCCAGGCGTGGTGGTGCACGCCTGTAGTCCCAGCACTTGGGAGGCCAGAGGCAGGTGGATCTCTGTGAGTTCAAGGCCAACCTGGTCTACATAGTGAGTTCCAGGCCAACTGGGGCTACAGGGAAACCCTGTCTCAAAAAGACCAAATTAAAAAAAAACAAAAAACACTGGTTGTTCTTGCAGAAGATCCAAGCTCGAATCCCAGCACCCACGTGGCTAACAACTGTCTGTAACTCCAGTCCCAGGAGACCCAACAGCCTCTTCTGACCTCCACAGGCATTGCACGACATGGGTGCACTTACCCACATGCAGGCAATACACACATACACATAAAATAAAAATGATAAATTTAAAAAAAAGAAAATGATCAGATAATCTTTAATTTGAGGACTAATATATAAGACAGGAACAGATTCTTCACAAAGGAAAAAAGTGTGGGTCTCCTCATTCATACATAAGGACAATCTGAAAACATGTCTAGAAACTTTGAATACACCCACTGACTGGCCCTGAACTTCCCCTCCATTTTCTTGAGAAATGTTGGATGTATAAGACATACATATGGCTGGGCATCATGGTGCCTCCCTTTAGTTCGAGCACTTGGGTTGCAGAGGCAGGCATATCTCTGAGAGTTTGAGGCCAGCCTGGTCTACATCATGAGTTCTAGGCTAGCTGGGGGATACAGGGAGACCCTGTCTCAAAAATACAAAAAAAAAAAAAAAGACATACATGTATGCATGATTAAGTTTGCTGTAGCACTGTTTGAACGGCAAAAGTTTAAAAACTGTCACTATGCTCACTTCACAGAAAACCTGCTAATTAAAATTAAGCTGAGGCTGGTGTGGTGGTGAGTGACTATGTTTCCAGCTACTTAGGAGGCTGTAGCAGGAGGGTCACTTGAGCCCAGGAGTTAGAGCCATCTTGAAAAACAAATAAAGCAACAAAAAAAGATTCTGTACCATATAAGGTCTATTTTTTTCTGATATTTAAATTACATTAAAATTATTTATTTAATAACCACATAATTAGAAGCATTTCATTACAACAGCATTGACATAGTTAATAACAATTTCCAGAGCTAAGATGCACCTCTTTCAAAATTGGCTGTAAATTTTTAGGTTTACAGTTGAATTGTTACAGTTATACAATATTGTACTCAGTATAAACCCTATAAGACATAAAAATGAAGTTTTACCTTTAAAAAAGATCTGCAATTCATTATTAAAATACAGTTTCATAGAGAAAAATTCATTTTTAATGCAATTAACACTAAGATGTTT